CTGGTCGTAGACTCACTGATACCACACGTCACATCAGAAAAGACGCGCACTAACGTACCGGCTGCGTCCCTAACAAACCGCCCCAAAAGCCAGATTAGAAGGACGGCCGCCACGCTCTTAGCCTGGACTGATGTCCAACGCACTGAAGACTCCCCTATTTCCCTGCTGCACAGGCACACGCCAGCAAAAAAAAAAGTCTAGCATTCTGACTCTCTTCTTCCACCTTGCTCTCCTCCACACCCCCAATCTCAACCGCAACCAATCTACGCTTGGGCAATCACTCTCTTCTTTTTTCTTGCTCTCCTCCAGTGCTATTGGAATTTGACCTTCCATTCTTCTCGAAACACGCCACAAATCCTTTTCTCTTCCTCGATTCGACCTCTCTCACACGCGTCCTCCTTCTCCTCTCTCCATCACGCACACATCTTCAAAGCGTCCATCATGAGTGCCGACGAGAAGATGCGGACGTCCGGCGAGGGCGTTCGCGAGGCCGGCTCCGGCTCCAGCTCGTCTGCCCCCGTCCTGCCGACAGTCAACCCCGAAGCCGAGAAGTCGCAGGCTCCCAAACCCACGATCCCTGCCGCCGCCTACGTAATGTACGTTTTCCAGTCCGACGTCCGAATGCTGGTTTGCATCGACGCGCTCTTCGTCCATTTGCTAACGTGTCCGCTTTTCGATGCACAGTGCCTGGATCAGCTTGAGCTCGTCTGTCATCATCTTCAACAAATGGATTCTCAGCACTCTCAACTTCCGTACGTCAACCTCTGACGCAGCGCCAAGACCATCGACCTGTGCTAACAATGTGCCTTTGCAGGCTTCCCGGTCATCCTCACCACCTACCACCTGCTCTTTGCGACGGTCATGACACAGCTTCTCGCCCGCTACACCAACCTGATTGATGGCCGCAAGTCGGTCAAGATGACCGGCCGCGTCTACCTACGCGCGATTGTCCCCATTGGCGTCTTCTTCAGCCTGAGCTTGATCTGCGGCAACCTGACGTACCTCTACCTCAGCGTCGCGTTCATCCAGATGCTCAAGGCGACCACCCCCGTCGCCGTGCTTCTGGCCAGCTGGGCCATGGGTGTCTCGCAGCCCAACCTCAAGGTGTTCCTCAACGTCATGGTCATCGTCTTTGGCGTCGTCCTGGCGTCCATCGGCGAGATCCGCTTTGTCATGACCGGCTTCCTCTACCAGCTCGGAGGTATTGTCTTCGAGGCGATGCGCCTGACCATGGTCCAGCGTCTGCTGAGCTCCGCCGATTTCAAGATGGACCCGCTCGTCTCGCTGTACTACTTCGCGCCCGTCTGCGCCTTCATGAACCTCGTCGTGGCCCTGATGTGGGAAGTCCCCAAGGTCACCATGGCGGACTTCAACAACGTCGGCTACGGCTTGTTCTTCCTCAACGGCCTGTGCGCGTTCCTGCTGAATGTCTCGGTTGTCTTCCTGGTACGTTTTCATCGCGGGTCTTCCTGATACCACTTGCATCTCCATCCGCAACGGTGCGCTTATTAACCTGTCAATAGATTGGCAAGACCTCCGTCCTGGTCCTCACCCTGTGTGGTGTCCTCAAGGACATCCTGCTGGTCGCCGCCTCCATGCTGATCTGGGGCACGCCCGTCACGGGCCTGCAGTTCTTCGGCTACGGCATTGCCTTGTGCGGCATGGTGTACTTCAAGCTCGGCTACGACACCCTCAAGAACTACGCCGCTGAGGGCGGCCGCAAGTGGGCTGAGTTTGGCGCCACGCGCCCGGCCCTGCGCAAGATCATCATTGGCGGCACCGTCCTGGCCGCTGTCTTCTTGGTCTTCACGTGGGCCAGCCCGAGCAGCATCCCGGTCACCCTGCCCGTCCGTTTATGATCAAAGCACACCCGCACGACCTTTCAACGACAGCTCCCTTTTACAAAGGCAGTTCAAGACACATGGACTGCACCTTTTTCACTGTATTCTCCTAATTACGCAAGTGTCCGAACCTCTTTTTTTTCTTTTTAAAATTTTAACCCTCTTCCCCATTCTTGACACTTGCTGGGAGTACACGTACGACTACGAACCAAAAAAAAAATGAGACTTTTCGTCCAAACTATGGGACGGAACGGCCTTGCTGAGCATTCGGAGTATATATATTTTAAACTGCTGCTTTTTGTTATCCCCATTTCTACACATCTGTCTTTTCTTTCTTCGCTTCTGTTTCTTTTATCACTGTACGCATCTGTCATTTTTTATGCGGTGTAATATGTTAGGTCGACTTAATAGAGGGTTTCCGTTTTTTATTTCATTTTCCTGCTAATCGCATGTATTCGCTTTGTTTGTCGACAGTATGTGGTTTTATGTTCAATAGACGACATTCGCAAATGTAATTAGACTTTGTCCTTGCTAGCTGGAGAACATATTTTCTCAGACGGACCTGATAAATTACGTGTGCTGAGATCGAGACGTAGCATTTCACAGTAAGCAAAAGCGAATGGTCCGAGTCATTGGTAGTTGTTCAAGTTTTTTTTCGTATCTTTTGTTTCTTGATCGTTCACGGGTAGCCATCGAAAACTGATGACAAAACTCCCCGTCCATGGTTTTATGTGTTCCTGGAAACCAACCAATCCTTTTTGTCCAAACCGACGCCATTTCCTCGCGTCGACTTTCGTACATCCCCCTTCCATGGATTTCAAATAGCACTCTGTCAGATGCCCTCTCCGTTTTCAATCGTCCGTCGTTGTCAACAGGTCACCCAAGCCTATGATGCTCGTAGTCCCTTTTTCCTGTCCATAAGATTTCCGCCTCGTTTGGTGGGTCGATTCGTGTGTCTAGACCGAATGTTGAGAGGATGGCCGTGGAGATTCGGTGGGGAGAATGGCGCAACGTTGTTCAGGTGGAGAAGAGCGGGCACAAGACAGTGAAAGAATGACGATATGAAAGAGAGAAAGAATCATCAAGCGAGTATAGTTTTAATATTTTTCTTTTTGGTTTTGTATGACCGGTTTTGTAACAGATGTTGGATGCAACATCATGACCCTCCCGCAAGATGACAAAAAAGAGGAAAACGAAAACACAGCGCGAACCCCCCGTGACACTTAGAATTCTGGACACCAAATGTTAGTAGGGAACAAAAAACATACGAAAGCCATACGAAAGCCTCGTATCAACCGGAACACTCGTCACTTACTCAGAGGGGTGAAGAACCACCGGTTCTTGCCGCTCGTGTACCGCTCCTCGAGGACCTTCTTGACGGTCTTCTTGGCCTCCTCCCGTTGGCTGACCTCCTTGAAGGTGTCGTTGGAGATGACGCCCTTGAGGCCCTCCAGCTCCAGGGTGTAGCGAGTGGGCATCAGGTGGTTGTAGTTGACAACCTTGATGAACGGCTTGACCTTGCTGCGCTTCTCTTGCCGGGTCTTGGACATGCGGCGGGTGATCTTGGACGGGTAGCGCTCGATACCGGCGACCAGGGCGTGGCCGTAGGGGTGCAGCTTGTTGCCAGCATCAACCGGCTGGATGATAACGACCTGTAGTTGAGCAAACGACCATTAGTCTCGATGCTCTCCTCACTCTCCTTGCTCCATCCCTTTGATAACGAGCATTGTCTCAATAGGTCGTAAGACGCGATGTGATCGGCTTCGATGGCCCATGTCTTCGTCCATCTCCCCGTGTCGAATCTCGAAGAAAAAAAACTGTGTCGTGTATCCCCAGCAGCAGCAAAACAGTCGGTATCATCGCACTCCGTTTCGTTAACTGTCTCTCTCGGTAGGTCGGAAGAACCAAACCCTTCCATCGGATCCCAGATGCCATGTCGTGGTCTTGTTACCGGATATTCTATGATTCGGGGTCGCTCGAAAACTTTGTCGTCGGTCGTCGTCCTGCAGCATTTCGTGTTTTCGGGGTCCGTCCAGTGTCCAGCTCCAAGAAACACATCGTCCATCGCACCGTCCTTCGCATCGTGACCTTTGAGACAAAGACTTTTTCGTTCCTCATTCGTTCTTCAGTGCATTCGGTTCTTACCTTCTTGCCGGCGTAACGGCCGCGGGTGATGATGGCAACACGGCCAACCTTGAGGAACTTCATGGTGAATTAAAGAAAGAACTGAATATTCCCTTAACTCGGAATGGTGGGTGGTAGGCTGGGTGTTGGGGGAAAAGAAGAGAGGCTCGACAGGACGTTTCGTGAAAATTGGGCGTCGATGCGAAAAAAGTCGGTTGGTCGATTGTGGTGCACAGGTTCGGAAAGGGCCAACAGAGACCACGCACGACAAGGTGGTTAGGTTTTTTCCCTAGCGCACCCTCACCCGACAGCAAAATTACAAAAAAATTATTGTGTGGGCAAAAAATATTCGCATGGCCGCTGAGTCCGCCCCCTTCATTGGCTGTTATTGATGACTAAGCCATAAAAGGTGGGTCCGTTTGAGCACAGGGCGGTTTTGGTCTACATAGGTTTAAAAGGTTCACGTGACACTCACGAAGACGCGAGCAAAGGTTGTCTCCACTTTAGATGACAAGGAAAAGCGGGTCAACGTGCGCTGATTGGCTCCTTGACATATCTCTCAGGTCTCCGAAAATGATGGGCCAAAGCTGAGCATGTTGGCTGCTACGAGGTATTCGTAAGTTCACAAAGCAAGCAACAGACGAAGCACACAGTCAACGAAAGAGCGATTCGATACACAGATACACGATACACTATATTCGCCATGCCTGGCCCTACGTACATCATCTCGCGGGTTGCTGACCCAATCTTTGCCGTCTTCATCGGCGTGTCGGCAGCGGCAATGCGGATCAACCGGGAGCAAAAAGAGAAGGGCAAGACAACACAAGAGACAATGGATGTCATTAAGAGGTATGTTTGTGAAGAGTTCATTATTGATGCTATTATTTACAAAAATTCAGTGTGCTACTAGCATACAAAGGGGTGCTCTTTTTACTTACTCTGCTCTCAACAGACGCCTAACGGGCACCACGAAGACGCCGGCAGCATGAGCACATAGATTGCTTCGAATACGACAAACCTTCCTCCCTGTCCGTCTCAGACTTTCGAGCCACTTCCGTTTTCGGCGCCGTACTCGCCCTTCATCATCTGCTGTACCATCTGGCCGCACAACTTGGCAGTTGGGTTCGTACCCACGGCCAGGCCACGGGCAATCTCGTTACCGAAGCGGCCGCCCATGGCAAAGTCGCGCGATGCCGCCTCCTCAAAGTCCATCTCGGACCAGCGCGCCTCAGGCCGGTCGACCGCGGCATTGCAGCGCCTGCTGTTGGAAGCAAGCTGCTTGGATGAGGCATAGTAGATGGCGGCGCGCTGGGTGAAGGCGAGGGAGAGCGTCTTGGCGGCGGTCGGCGAGAGCGCGGCGGATGCTAGACTGGCGGGCGCGGGCATTAACAAGGCAATGGCCCGGTCGAGGTCGGAGAGCACGGTGGCGGCCGCCTCTGTACGCTCCGTCGCGTCGGCCGCAGGGCCGCTCAAAATCGCCTCGACGCCTCGTTGCGGGCGCGGGGAGCCAAGCACCGGTCCATCAATGATGGGCTCCAGAAGCATGTCGTCGCCGTAGAGGCGACGCAGCGCCTGGGCGCGGTTGTTGCGCGCACTGGCATACCGAGGGTGCTCTTCGACAAGCCTGCCCAGGCGAGCAACACATGCCCGGTAGGCCTCGACGGGGTCGGGCAGCGTCTTCTCCTTGAGGCCGGCAAGCTCCATCTCTGCCTCTTGCATCGACAGAATGAGCTCCCGCTCCCTCTGGCTGACGGCGTCGTACTCAACGGCATCGGTGATGTGCGGGTCCTTGGGCAGCGAGGGATCGAGGCGAAGCCCACTCTCTGGGTTGGATTCGGGGTCGCGGATCTTGCCGAGGACATCAATGTCCCGTCTGCTGAGGGAAATGTTGCCAGCCATGGTTGACGTGAGGTGTGAGGCGGTGTGAGGAGGAGTGAGGGCGGTGTGAGGAGGATAGCTCTGTGTGAGTTGATAGGTTGGGTACGTTCAAATACTATCGACAATGAAATCGAGTATCAAAACGCTTTCCTGCTCTCCTGAGCTGCTTCGACAAACGAGCTGATTTAAAACCCGGAATAGTCGACAATGACAGCACTCGTCAAAACAACTTTGTTATTCGAGGTCCATCGAGGGGCAAAAAGCTTACAATTCCGGAGGCACGGTCGACCAGTCGAAGCTGTCACGAGTCTCAGCCCATCGGGCTGTCAATTAAAAAGCGCCAGGGCGCGCCTTCTGCGAAGTATGCGCAAACAGATCGCTCCTTCACTATCTACACAGTAGTCATACCCTCTGGCTGGAATGCACATCACCTTCCATAAGCGACCTGTGCGACCTGCACTACGGTAAGCAGGAACGCAGAGGGAGGTGTGGGGCAACGGGCATTGGCTGGGTGCGGAAAGTGTCTTAGTGTCTGTTGGACCGGTTGGCTGCAGGCGGGCGGCCAGTGTCGGCATGGCGCGGCTTCCCCCGCAGCCCTGCACTCTGTCTGTGCGCGATAAGGATATGGGCGGCAGGCGGCAAGCGTTCCGCGACCACCAACAAAGCCGAGCGTCACCTGAATCCTAGCCAACATCGCCATCAGATCGGCCTGCTGAGAAAGGACAGCAGACCTACGGAGTAGGCAAAGTATGTGCACGGCGACAAGGATCGCCACCGCACTGTCTGCCACTGTCTGGCACGCTTTCGTATACGGGCACGTCGGGCACGTCGGGCACGCTGACAGATACTAAGACCGCACCACTGGACGTCACTCTGAGCCGAGTTGACCTGCGCTTCTGGTTCCATCTGCTGTCGCGGATGTGGAATCGCACTGTCGGGCACAGTACAAAGGACTGCTACGTTCAGTTATATAATTGTAGTGAACATCCTGCATCGACATCGTATCTACGTCTGACTATATTTGGCCCCTTCGTTGCCTTTCTCGTTGCCCTTTGACCATCTTCCACGTTCTAACTCTTACAATCACCGAGATATTTTCCATCAACACAGCCAAAGCACACCCGCACACAACTCCCACCACTTGTTGGCCCGTCCCCGAATCACATTTTGTGTCCATGTCCCCGTCTGCCATCTCCGACTCGCCCAGAAACTCGGTTTCTGATCCGCATAACGCGCACAGGAACATCTTCGGAGGAACCAAGAATGGAGCCACCATCGATGCCGCCGTAACCGCTGCTGCGGGCGCGCCGACCTTCCACGGCTATGACCACGTCACCTGGTGGGTTGGCAACGCCAAGCAGGCCGCCAACTACTACAGCACCCTTTTCGGGCTGCCCACCTTTGCCTACCGGGGCCTAGAGACCGGCAGCCGCTATTTCGCCTCGTACGCCGTCGGCCACCACCGCGGCGGCGGCACTGCCGACAGCGCCATCGAGGACGACCAGGACAACGTGTGCTTCGTGTTCACGTCGCCCATCCGCTCGTACCGCCACCTGCCCGAAGGCGAGCCCATTTCGGACGCGGACCGTGCGCTGCTGCGCGAGATGCATGACCATCTCGAGCGCCACGGCGACGCCGTCAAGGACGTTTGCTTTACCGTCGACTCGGTCGAGGGCGTCTACCAGCTGGCGACCGCCGAGGACGGTGTCCCGGGCAAGGACAAGGACGCCAAGGTCGTTGGCGTGCAGCCGCCCACCCAGCAGCACGACAAGCTGTACGGCGGCAGCGTCACCACGGCCGTGATCCGTACGTACGGCGACACGACCCACACGCTGCTCAACCGCGGCGACTACAAGGGCCCCTTTTTGCCCGGCTTCCGCGCCGTGGCACCGCCCAAGGCCGCCCCCCGCGGCACAGCCTCGTTCAAGCCCGTCGTCCTGGCCCCTGCGCCGGCGGTCGGCCTGCAGCGGATCGACCACTGCGTGGGCAACCAGGACTGGAACGAGATGGAGGCGGTCTGCGCCTTCTACGAGCAGCGTCTCGGCTTCCACCGCTTCTGGTCGGTCGACGACAAGCAGATCTGCACCGAGTTCAGCGCCCTCAAGAGCATCGTCATGTCCAGCGGCGGCAGCGCCAACACGGTCAAGATGCCCATCAACGAGCCGGCCCCCGGCAAGAAGCGCTCGCAGATTGAGGAGTACATTGTCTTCAACAGCGGCGCCGGTGTCCAGCACATTGCCCTGCGCACCCCGAACATTGTCCAGGCCGTGTCCAGCCTGCGTGCGCGTGGTGTGCAGTTTATCGACGTGCCGTCGACCTACTACGACGCGCTGCGCAAGCGGCTGGCCGCCAGCGCGGCGGGCACGGGCGCGAAGCTGGCGTGGCACATTAGCGAGGAGCAGCTGGCCATCATCGAGCAGCTCAACATTTTGATCGACTACGACGAGGGCGGCTACCTGCTGCAGCTCTTCACCAAGCCGCTCATGGACCGCCCGACCGTCTTCATCGAGATCATTGAGCGCAACAACTTTGAGGGCTTTGGTGCGGGCAACTTCAAGAGCCTGTTTGAAGCCATTGAGCGCGAACAGGCTGAGCGCGGCAACCTGTAGGGGAGGGGCTGAGTGTGGCTCAGCAGTGATAAGGGGGCAAAGGGGGGCACCTCGATTGCTAGCTACGACGACCATGACGTGTATTTTACTTGTTGCTTCTGCTACTCTTGCGTTGATTTTATAAGGATCAATTTACTGTCTGAGAATACTCAATGATTTTTGTACCCAATTTTTTTTTTAAAAAAAAAATATGTTGTGTTCTGAAATTAAAAAAAAAATCAAAAATCAAAAATCAAAAATCAAAAAATCCAATAGATGAGATTCAAGTAGCCAGCGAGTGGGTGGATTGACAACCAAGACATAAAACATATATAAGCAGGCATTACTACCCGCAAGCATGACTGGGTTACAAGATAATTACGTGTCGTCGTATTGTATGTGATGCTTCCGTTAAAACTAGATAAAGGACCCAAAATATTATGCCGTTTTCTACAATGCTAAGCCAACTAAATACGGGTGAAACATCACTCCTCTCTCTGCCCTCTCCATGTATGCTCTCGTCATTCACTTGTTTTCGACATGGCCCGCGCTCCTCCGTCCCTTTACACGTCCTCGTTTTCCCAGTCCTTCTCCGCAAACATCGGCCGCCGGTTGCCATTGTTGTTGTTGGCGCTCTCCAACTTGGCCAAGAACTCTGGCGGCAGCGTCGGAATGTACTTGTGCTCGCGCTCGCGGTTCACGCCGCCGAAGCCGGCGCCGTACGACACCAGCATGTCCGTTGCCGATGGCAGCGTGAACGGCAGCATCAGCGCCGGGTCAAGAAGCAGGTGCTTGGGCGCGTCGTCCTCCTCGTCTGCGTCGCCGTCGTCGCGCGTCTTGGCCGGCGTGGCCGTCGGCGTCAGGCTGCCGCCGCCGCCGTTCTTCTTGGCGGGTGTCGAGGGTGCGTCGTGGGCGGCTTGTGCGGCCGCTTCGGCCGCCTGCGCCTCGCTCACCTTGACGGCCGCTGACCCGGCGAAATCGGCCAGGGCGGGTGGTGCGCCATAGGCGCTCGCGGCGGCGGATGCGACGGCCTTGACGACAAAGGCCGGGGCCGCGGGCGCAGGTGCGGCGGCGGGATTCGACAGCTTTTTGCTGCTGCTGCTGCTCTTTGTTGGCGGCGTCGGCGACATGGTCTTGCGCCGGTTGCGGAGCTCCTCACGCCGCAGCGTCGCTTCGCGCTGGATGGCCACGAGGTACTTCATCGCACTCTTGGGCAGGCCCTTTTCGCCCACCTCGGGCCGGTAGTGCTCGGCCGCGTGGATCAACTGCTGCGGGCTCAGTGCCTTCAGCTGCTGCAGCGTGCCGACCAGCGCCTCGAGATCATCGGCGCCCAGCGACGAGAAACACTGCAGCCACTGCAGCAGCTGGATGACGGGCTCCAGGTGTCGCCGCGCGGCCTCCATCGTGGGCTCGCCCGACGAGCGCATCTCGCCATGCTCAAAGTGCTCGGGCATGCGGTTGTTGGTGCGCGCCCAGTCCTCGAGGATGGACACGTTCATGCGGATCTGCATGGCCTTGGTACGCGCCAGGTATTTGCGGTTGGACATGATGCGGTTGAACAGCTCCGCGCTCAGCCAGTACATCAGCTGCGAGATGATTTGCGCCGTGATGACCGAGTGCACGTCGTAGAGGTCCAGCACGAACAGCGTCGACGACAGCAGCGACGTCACGTTGCGCGGTGCGGGCTTGGCCCGCTGCTTGGGCGACGGCGGCCGCATGCGCCGCTCGAGCGGCTCCTCCTTGACCTCCTTCTTGCGCTTGAAGATCTTCCACTCGTTCTGGAAGGTAATGTCCTCAAAACCGGGGATGATTTCGTGATCCAGCATGCCGGCGTCGAGAACCTTGTCCAGCCGCCGCTCGGCGTCGCGCACAATGAGAATAAAGATCTCGTTGATGAGCTCGGCGAGCTGCGCTTGAAACTCAGTTGTCGCTTCGACGAGCCCGGAGTCCTTCTTCAGGTAGTGTAGGAGCAGCGTCGCGTTGGAGATCCAAAACGCCAAGATCGTCATGTCCCACTGGTGCTGTTCGACAACGTCGTTGATCTTGTCCATGGCGGTGATCAGCAACTTCGCCAACAGGTCTTGGCTGGCGTGGTAGTGGGCGTAGCGGGCGCTCAGGAAGATGACGTTGGCGGGGACCGGTTTTTGTGACGGTGAGCGCTGGGGCTGCATGTTGGTGATGACAATGTCGAGGATGCGGTCCAGGTCGACCTCCTGGAACACAAACATCTGGTCGTGCAAGCAGCGTGACCAGTCAAACTCCTGCTGTTCCTCTTCGAATTCGTCCACTGGCTGCTGGCCTGTCAGTACACAGCCCTTGCGCAAAAGTTGAAATACAGTAGTGCAAACCAAAATCCAAATACTTACTTCTGGCTGGTCGTCGATGCCGACGTTGCCCAGGTCGACCTCCAGGTCGCGGGCGCTCTCCATCATCATCCGTCGCCGCATCTCGTTCTCGGCCATCTCCTCTTCGAACCGGTCCTGCGAGAAGCCTGGGTTGTAAAAGTCGTCCGTCACGCCGGCGTTGCCAATGTTGTAGCCGCTGTCGTGGAGATAAAAGGACATTTCACTGTCCGGAGGCACAAAATCAAAGGCCGTGCGGCCGCTGGACGTCTTGGTGTCGGTGGCCGCACCGCTGTCGAGCAGGAGCTTGGCAATGTTCTTGTGCCGGTTCGTCATGGCCCACATCAGCGCGCTCCAGTGGTTGCGGTCTTGTCGGTCGACGTCGGCTCCCGCGGCAATCAGCGCCTGCACAACGCCCTCGTGGCCGAAGCAGCTCGCGTAGATGAGCGGCGGCGTGCCGTCCTCGTCGGGTGCGTTGAGATCGATGAATGGCCGCGCCGGGCCGTCCAGAATCTTGCGGACCTGCACGACATTGCCATTGCTGGCCGCCATATTAAAGATACGCTGCAGGGTCGCGCGCTTGTCGTCGTCGGAGAGCTCCTCGTTGGACGCCACGGCGTCCTCGTCCTCGTCAATGGCGGTGGCGTTGTTGGAGAGGGCGGCCTGCGCGGCTAGCATTTCCATGAGCCGCGTGTCGCTGTCTGGGACATGGCCCTTTGTCAGGTCCTCGCTGTAGTTGGGGTCGTTGAGGGTGAGGTCGCCGAAGCCGAGCGGTTTCGCAAGCATGGGAGAGGTCAAGAACTGGGACTGTCCTGGGAGGAGGGGATAGGTAAGTTAGCATCGATGGCAGTGACAACACCACACAGAGAACCCCTGAGAACCCGTCCGGGGAACGTGTCAAGCTTACCTTGCCACCCATCGTAAAGTTCTGTCTCGGGCACGAGGTCTGTTGGGCGCCGTCGGTCATCCAGCGACTTGGGCAGGTCCAATGGTAGCGCGCGTGGCTTTTTGGCGTCGCCGGCATCCTCCTCGCCCGACGACGCGAAGCCGCCGCCGCCGAAGGCGTCGTTCTCTACATCGTCTGCATCCATTGCTGCTGAAGCCTGTCAGGCCCAGAGAGCTACCGTTAAGCCGGTATCAATGAAACAGCTCCTCCAGGAGTCCAGTGGTGATCGGAGGACGCGATATGGTAGGAGGCTACAGTCCCACACACCACCCCAGGTCGAGTCGTGCGTCCGACGTGTTTGGAGTTGCCAGAGGGGCGCACTGGTCGTGTGATGCCCGTTTTTTTCGATTCGCAAATGGTTGTCGTGCCTGTGCCTCGCCGCATCGGCTGCGTCTGGCTGGTTGCGTTGAAGGGTCAAAGGGGTGACCGACGTCAAAGCTTGCGGAATAGGCGGGCGTACTTGCTCGCCCTTCGGTAGGCGAGGGTCGCTCTTGCTGCATGCAACGACGGTGTTGGCAGTGGTGCTCCTGCCCTGGTGGCGCGGGGCAGATCGACTAAATGGGCAGTGCCCACAACAGGGGAAAGTGGGCAGGTCTTGTTGCGGCAACCGCTATTCTGAACGTAGCCCTGCCGACGAAAAGGGGCAAGATAGGGAGTAATAAAAGGATGAGATGGATACAGCCTTCTCGCCGAACCACCGAGTCTATTTTGTCATTTCAACAATCTACCGAGAGGTGCCCGACTCGGGACAATGCTCCGTGGTGGGAGATTAGACTGTGCTAGTTGCTTGGGCGTGCTGCCTTACCTGGAAGCTTGCTGTATGACGCGGATTATATAAGCCAAGTGTGACACATCACGTGCATTTACTTGACTGTTGAAAATGTTGATTTCATCTTCAGTGCATCTTCTACACAGTTTTCACGAGCGATATAGTATGTGTGAAAGTACTGAATAACTGGGGGCGCTTATGATAATATATCAAACTAGTACGTATAACTATGGCCGGCGTTTGGGCGTCATCTTTTCAGCGTAGCTACACTGAGTATTTGCCGCACATCAATTTTGGCATGGAAAACGGAGGCATGACTTGCAATGTATATTATCCAAATGCTAGCTAGATGGTTCTGCAATGGGCTGTTCAGCCCACACTAGATCGCTCTGGTAGCGAAGACGCGGATGCGCTTGACACCGCCGTCGGGAATCATGACCAGCTTCACGTGCGTCGCCACCTCGCCAGCCGGCAGCTGCGACGGGAACTCGTGCTCCTGGTCGGGGCCGCACTTTGACGGGGGGACGGCGTCGACCCAGGCCGCATCGTCGTGGGAGGGCTCCGAGCCAGTGGGGCCCGTCCAGCGCAGCGCCTCCACCTTGACCTTTTGCGGGAAGTTGCCGCGGAAGTAGGCCGTGTCGACAATGAAGCGTTGGATGTGGCAGGCAGCGCCCAGGCGGATAATGGCCCAGTCAACGTGGCCCTTGGTGCGCGACCGCGCCGTCTCCCAGCCGTCGCCCATGTCCTTGCCGCGGCCGGGCAAGATCAGGTTGTCCTTGGTGCCAAAGTGCTGGTCGCTGCAGGCGACGGCGACACCGCCGTTCTGGGCGGCCGCAAGGTCAAAGACGGCGCTGGCGTCGGCCGGGAAGACGGGCACGGCGTGGCCAAAGAGACGGAAGCGCGCAATGCCGCCGTCGGGGTACATGTTGAGGCGTACGTGGGTGTAGGCCTTGGTGGTCTCGGCGTCCAGCTTCCAGCCGTGTCGCTGGCTTGGGCCGCAGGGCTGCACGCCGAGGATGGTCTCCCAGCCGCCGCGGCCGCCACCCCACGACACGACGTCGGCGTCGTCGGCGCTGAAGCAGCCCTCCACGGAGATGGCGGGGGCCTCGTTGCCGCTGAAAAAGGCTGTGTCGATCTCGACGCCGGTCACGGTGCCCGAGGCGACGCCCAGGCGGATAATGACCCAATCAAAGGGCTCCGGGTTGTGGCGGCGCGTCTCCCAGCCATCAAACCAGGCACCGCTGAAGACCATCTTGCCATCTTCGTGAATGGGCGCCTTGGGGTTCAGCAGGTTGGCGGCCTCGGCAAACCATTGGTCAGAGAAGGCAAGAATCTTGCCCTCGAGGCCAGCGGAGATGAGATCTGTGGCGGTCAGCGATGAGCGATTTGATAGTGGATGCAAGCGCAGGTGAAGCAAGGCGGATCCAGACAGATAAGCGACGGACGGCGTGGGGGCTCGATCGTGCACAGGCCTTGCACAGTGTACGCCTCACGTACCGATGCTGTTGGAGCGGAACGTTGTATCGATGTCGTTGGCGGGAATCTGCGTCGCCTTGACGGTTTCCAAGGTGTACTCGGCTGCCTCTGACATGTTTCCTTTGTACTTTCGGGTATATAACTTGATGGGGTTCCTTTCTTTTTGTGTGATTTCTGATACGATCCAAAAATATGTCCAATCCGAACGTCTCAGGGTCGTCGAAAACAAAAGTGGAATGAGTGGGAGTTATAACCAAAAAAGTGTCATGAGAAAAAGAGGAGACAAGGGTTGCTTGTGATCGTGCTCCACAAACCCTTTTAGGTCCTATGGAGAGCCGTTAGGTAAATCGCAAAACGCCGTTTTGGGCAATTGAGAACTTGTTAGGTAAAAGCAGCCCAGTTTGCCACACGACTTGAACGTTGTATCTCGACCGGAGGCCGTCCATGATCAAGACGACCTGATATCATGAAATATCGGTTCGCAGTTGCAACATCTGAAGTTGTCGAGTTACTACTACGCCTCTACTACGACGAACAACGGACCTTCAACGCTCAATGGAGTCCCGAGGCACGCGAGACGTTCAGACATCGAGGGTCCGGCCGGCCGCGGTCGGCCTGCAAGGGGCTTATCGTCGGACGAAGCCGATACCGCCTAACAGAAAACATCGATACAGCGATAAATGGTCGATTTTAGTGGGCCTGACGGGGTCGCGGGAAGGATTTTCAGGTAATAGAAATGCTTGGTACAGCGGGAGTTCTGCCGCTACGCACCAATCAGAGTCAGTAGAGGTAATGGGCCCTCGTCGAAAATACGTAATAGCGGAAAGCAGCGTGAAGGTGGCATGGAGCTGCCGTAAACAGCCCCCTATTGGACACAATGATACTGTTGTACTCACGTAAGATATGTGCTCCAAACTTATTGCATACACAGCATTGGAACGAGGGCTGGAACAACTGAGTAGACAGAAGGCTGTAGCCTACATAGTAAACGCACTGCGTTACGGTGCCGAAGGCACAGCGCCATGCGGGGAGACTGCGCCAGGGCCTTCTCTAGGCTAATCAACCCCTGCTCATTAGCAAGCACGTCACACTGAATCACCATGCAGCTTACTCTCAAGCTGCTCCCCCTTCAATCATCATCGCAATTGTCCCTCTTCGTGGCGCAATCTATGGTATTCCGGCCCCCTCCTTCACCCTCTTGCATCCTTTTTGTCCACCATATCGTCCTGCCGATATTCATCCTTTTCTTCCCCTACCATCCGTCAAACCATCAACGGCGACCTGGTCGGAAACAGCCGCCTACGATCACAGTGACAAGTTGACGAGGTTTGGGATTCCGCTCGAGCTAGCAGCAAATCGGGACAGTTGCTCATTTGTGGGGACTCGTTACTCCGTCGTCGGCAGAGAAGACGCTGGGACAACAACCCCGTGATCCTATCACCGAACAGCCAATGGCGTCCAACTCAGACCAACCGGCCCAGGAGCCACTCCAGGCCAACGGTGACCGCGTCGATGAGTCGGCACCGCTGCTGGGCCAGCCGGGCGACGTCTTGCAGAGACCGGGACAGAGCATCGTGTCCAACCTGTACACAGGTGCGGCCGTTTACACCCCATAACTGAATGAATACCCCATCTCTGTTTTGTGAGCACGGCACCTAACGTTTTTCTCCCAGGCACTGCGTGGCTCGCCCAGGCCGGCGCCCTCTTGCTCGTTCTCCTCGTCTGGACGGGTGTGTTCCGGCATCCGCCACTGCTCCCGCTCTTCTCGCCCCACCCCCTCCTCCAGTCCGTCGGCGTCTTTGTCGTCGTCCAGGCCATTCTGGTTCTGCAGCCGACGGCCACGCCCGGCGACAAGACCCGCGGCGCGCATGCACACGCCGCGCTGCAGCTGCTGTCGTCTCTCATCTTCATCGGCGGCGTCGTCGTCATTGAGACGAACAAGGTCCGCTCGCATGGCGTGCACTTTCACTCGGCGCACGGCTACCTGGGCGTGCTGACGGCTGTCGTTCTGGTGAGCCAGTACGTGTTTGGGTTCGTGGTGTGGCTGGCGCCCGCCTTCCTCTTTGGCAGCGGCCCGGACCGCGTCGACCGTGCCAAGGCCCTGTGGAAGCACCACCGGCGGTCTGGCTACGCGGTGGTGCTGCCGCTGCTGCTGGTGACGGTTGCGACGGCGACGGCGACCGACTACAACGTCAACGTTCTGGACATTCGGCTCTGGGCGGTTCTTGTGGCCGTCGGGCTGGTTGTGGTGGGTGTCTACCCGCGCATTCACATCCGCAAGCTGAACGGGTAGCGTTGAGTATAGCGGGTTCGGACGAGTCGTTGAGTGGCCGGAGGGAGCTCCTTCGGGACGGCAAGGCAGTATGATACGAAACGGGACCAGTCGAGAGAGAAGTCTTTAAGACCCGGAGCTCGCACGTTCAAAGACAACTTTTACGGTATTGGATAATTTAGGATACGATTTCTTTCTTCGTTTTTTCTTTATCTCTTTTTATTTTTTGCTAAAGTCCAGGGCAGGATCGAATAGTTTTGCACATTGGACAAGTATGCCCAAAGCAGAATCAAGTAGCGAACTGAATTTCCGACATTTTCAAGTTTTCGTATCTTCAACGGAGAATTCGCTCCTGACTATACATGCTTCAGTATACGATGTATATACCGCTCTTTCTAACTTCCAAGAGTCGTGACGGCGGCGGCTCTGTCACGATGCAATTGACCCTTGAGAGCTACGAAACGCCGGCGTCTGTTCAAGTTGCGAAATTGCCCATCTTGAAACTAACGGATGTTTTCTCTCGACAAACATCTCGACCAAGGCCTTTGTCAAAGCATTGACGGGCCCCAGTCCAAACATAAAATTGATTTCCAGCCAGGTCGTCAGAGCTGTGGCATCTGTGTATGGCGGTGTGCTGTTGGCTAAAGACGATCTCGTTGGGTGCGATGGCCCAAAGCGGCAAGCAAGGAACACGCGCCGCTAATTGGCCAGCCACACACACCACTTCCGCATTGGCTCCCGTCCCTACGTCATAACCCAAACTTGCTTTTCCCGTCACCTTGGACGAGGCCGTGTTGCCCACTTTTCCTGTTTTCCGATTCGTGTCATGCGATTGGGACAAAAATGGGGAACGACGACACATGCTGGGCTCTCGTGGAGCGTGGGTTGGGGAAAATCGAGGACACGTGTAGAATCCCACGGACGGTTTTCTGGAGAAATTACATGGGTAGAACAATTTCCTCGAATTTTTGTATTTTTGCATTTTTGTCACGACCGAACCAGCCGGCCAGCCATGTCTAGGATGATTGAAATGCGCAAAGATGGGATGTGCAGATGTCTCGCGGACGAGCAGGCCTTCCTTTGTTCAACGCCAGAGAGACGAGTAAGTAAACACAAATAGTTGCAACGACGCAGTAAGCAACATGCGGGTTTGCGACGGGCCAGGTAGAGCAAAAGAAGGCAAGGCAAAGGAAGAACCGGCTGAGAACCGTGACAATAAAACCGAACAATGTAATTACCTTATTTATTCTTTTTATATTCAAACACAGACGGCAAATCGGCCAGCTACCAGACTCAGTATGACGCACTGTTCCGGCCGACGAAGAGGACACAAGGAACGAGACGTGCATTGACTGCCTCTTACAGTCGGGTACACGAACGGTAACGGACAAGTCGATGTGTTGCAAGGCCGTGTTCGATTTTGTCCACTGTGGTGAGGCTTTGCACGACATCGTAACCGGGCAAGAACTCGGCTGTAAGATACGGGAGATGGCGCACAGCGTACAATACGACCCGTCAAAGTGCATACAAATACGGACACTGGCTTGTTTGCACGACACTGGAGAAAGGGAACAATCCACGGGCCACAGCCTAGCCTGCTGGCCCGATAAGAATACGAGTCCGTGAGACCCATGATACAGTCCTATGATACAGTCCCCATCTTACAGTCCAGTTAGGCCCGCCGGACGTTTCTTTTGGGCTCTGCTGTCGGGTTCGAATCCCCGTATACGCCCATTTTCAGTCGCGCTCGCGATTTGAGAAGCACGCGGCGGTTTTGCGCAGACAGTGTCGTCAATCGCAAACAGGCGAAGCGCTCAATCCCAGAGGGAAGAAAGGCGCACAAGATCCATATAAGATGACTGCGCGCCAGAAGCATCCAGGCCCCTTTCGGTGGCCCACTCAGAAATGTGCTCCGCTATTTTACCCGCGTCGCGCCACCGCCTGGAAAAAATTACAGCTGCTACTCCGTAAAATCTTAGCTTGCGGTGACGTCATAGGGCGTCGATCGCCAAGTTTTTTGCGGTTTTGTCCCCCCGTGGACCGTTTCTCAATTTGCGGTGCGTTGTCGCGCGTGCCCCTGGCCTGGCCTGCCCTGAGAACCTGTCCAGGAATGCGAAATCCTGGCCAAAGACGGGCCCAAGGCCCCAATCTGTGTTTTGCCCTCCGCTTCGTGTCTACTGTACATCGTACGACTGTGCGTCTTCTCACTGAGTTCACTCGCGCCTTCCCTCTCCGGTTCCTCGTCTCCCCTTCCTCCTCTCTGCCGCAGCTTCCACTTTTGACGCCTGTGTCTCCCCCTTGTCTACTTCGTCTCTGTGCTGTGTATGACTGTAAACATGTCCTGAATTATAGTGTTGGTTGTTCTTTCTGTGTTGGTGGGTTTTTCGCCAAGCCTGCAGTAGCCCGACACGCCAAAACAACACCTGGGACCATGGTCTGGCCGCCGTTCTGTTAGCCTGCTTCAGCTCCATCGAACGCTCTCCAAGGCTCCTTCCTCCTCTTTGCCCTAGTGTAACAGGTCGTCACTGCCGCTGGCCACAAAACCTGCCTTGGTTTTGCCTCGTTACGTACTTTCCGAATGCGCTCACACTACCGTCATTCTTCCACCATTCCATTGCCTCTCGTCTTCACCGTTTTTCGCTGCCCTCCACTTCTTCCGGTTCTTCTGGTCCTGTTTCTTCTTCTATTCGTACAATCTCGACGTCTCAACGCTTGCCAGCCTTTGCCCTCTTGCTTACCGAACATTTCCTGTTTGCGGTTCATCTCGCCGCTTGAATCCCCCCGCCCACAATTATACCCCGAGCGTGACTTCAAGCTCTACTAGTCTCCAGCGAGGCCTGTTTTTGCTTCCTTTTCTCCTTTCCTCCAATATTATCCCAGTTGCAGGCTTCCCACACCTCCCACCTTGCCAACTTCATTGTTTCGGTCCGGTTGTTTGCAGCGCTGTTCAGCAACATGCCAGTATAGGCTGAGACCAAGGCGAAGGACAGACACGCAGAGCGAAAACAGAGCGAAAACAGAGCTCAGCATCAAACGGCTACCCTCCACCCCGACGACCACTCAAGCTCACGCCCTTTCTTGGACGCGACGACCATACCTACCACTTCTGGAGGCTTCACCGACTCGGGGCGATCTCGTGGACCAGGCTTTCCGACTAGAGTAGACAACGATACGCGATAGTCGATTCCCGTCATCAAAGCGACATTGGAGCAATCATCTATCCACTGGACCAAGATTTGTACACAACAGTGTATCAACATCGACAGTGATAAGCAGCACAAGGGCTGGTTGATGCCACGGATGTTTCATACGCCCGGCACGGCCTTGAGATGAACTGCCAGCAATGGCAAGCTGGGCGAAGAGCGGACGAGGAGGCGCGCTTTCACCTCAACAAAGTCCACCATCTCCAAGTGCCGGAGTGTCATCGCCCTCAGAGACCATGAACAGCGGCAGCAGCAACAGCGTCGGTGACAACAGTGGCAAACACGCCGACGATCAGCAACAACCGACGTCCATCACCAGCAAAGAACGCAAGACGTCTAAACCAGGATCCAATGGTGCTCGATCCGGTGGCAGCACCTCACCCAATAGCGAAAAGCGCACAAGCGACCGCCGAACAGCCCAGCCCGGTCCGTTTGGACGCACTTCTAATGGAGACGAGGACCGTCACTCTGTCAACCACGTCCAAGAGCAACAGACGATAGAGCACCAAGAGTCACGGCACCATGATGCCACGAGCCCACAACACCAGCTGAGCGACTACCGCCAGAGACTGGCTCGCGAGATGTCGGCACGAGTCAACAACCAAACGTCGCCTGTGACGAGCCCGTTTGCAAAACGCCCTTCACCCATCGAAGAGGAGAAGGTCTCCGCATCAGGCTCACCATCGGCGCCTTCGGCACCATCTGCGTCACCAACGAAACCCACCGCTCTGCCTTCGGCTCGTACTTCTACGCCAGCATCCGCATTGCTCTCCTCCTCGTCGTCCGGTACAACTTCTACCGACTCAGCCCGAACCGTGCGCGCGGCTGATCCTGGCAAGGGAGTCACGGCACGGACGCCGTCATACCCGTTTCCTCGCATGGCGATGCCCAGCGCTAGTAGAGACCCTTCGTTTGCTTCAACAGTCGCTTGGTCTGCACATGCACGGTCATCGCAGGCTCGGTTGCAGTCGGATCGCGACAGAGGTTCCTCTGGTGCAGGTTTCGAATCTGAGCAAAAGTCGACGCAATCACGATCGGAACCACAGCGCCAGGAGTCGGCCTACAGCTTTCGGTCTGACCAGGTGCTGTCGAGCCCCTCGACACCTGCCTCTGCTGTCACGTTTCTGCCCAGCAGTGCTCTCGGCCGTGACCCTCATGACGAGACCGGCAAATATGCGACCCTCAACGGGAGTCGCTACCTCGATCATCACGATTTTGAAACCCCCAATTTATATGAACTTGCACTCGCCTTATCCACAGAGCCCGGGTTGGATGCGTGGTGGGACGCCATCGTGCAGATTGCCACCCAGTGGTACAAAGCCGAGCGTGTCGCTCTCGTAATCCCGTCTGATTCGACCGACGTCGAGAACATGCCGTGGGGTCAGAAAGCAACTTTTAAGATTCGCGAGAAAGATGATGAACTCAGTTTGGGCTACATGGGGCACGACAGTCTCGTTGCGGCGACAACGGACCTAGGTTCCAATGCCACACCACTCCTCTCCACCTCGGGCATCCTATCTCCTCCCCCACCGGCCCCTTCTCCGGCGCCGGCCGAACAGCTGCGCCGCCCCAACCTCACTGCCCGATATTCATATACGACGTACGAGGAACGCAAGGAGAACAACCAGCTTGACGATCCGAAGCCTGGAGCCGGTGCTGACCAAACATCCGCAGCACCGATTCGTCCTTCGCTTTCAAGATGCCAGACGTCTCAGCCGGTCGCCACGCAGCGTACCGATATCCCCAAGGCTGACTGGCCGGCCGAAATGCTGCCGCCCAAGCCCTACACCGCTTTGAAACATTCCGTCCTTGAAGAGCACGATGCTACGGAAGATCCTCACGGTATGACAACGTACGTCACCGGATCGTCGCTCCAGCAACAGTCCGAGACCAGGGGTAGAGTATTGCCAGTCCTCCAGGCCCTCGACTACGAAGCGGACCCGTTGATCGACCACAATGGCGTGCAACGTGTACTGGACCGCGGCCATGTCGTCGCACTGACCCGTTCATATCCGTATATTACGCCCAAGCAGCCAGAGACACCAGCGCCCGCGCCTGTCACCACGCAAAATCAACAACCGCCAACTCCAGATGGCGGGGATGAAGAAACGATGGCGAACACAAACTTGTCGAAACTGGCCAACGAACTTGCCGGCGGTTCCAACCAGCGTCTTCAGCAAGGGTCCCCTCTGAAACTCTCGACACTCCTCGGGACAAGTGGGCTGCCACCTACCAAAAACTCCAATGCCAGGCCGAGCGCGAGTTACATGAGACGACTCACGGGCGCTAGCATTGCGTCAAAGCTCGAAGAGGCGAAACCTCAGCGGTCAAAGTCGCCGCTGTACGAAGAGTACGAGCAAATGCCGCCTTCACCATGGTCGCAGTCACCGGCACCGTCTCCGGCGGTACGGCACGACCCCAATGAGAACCCGTTCTTTAGCGATGCCGTCGTCGACGAGGACAGCTTCAACCCTGCCTTGTCACCGGAGGACTACAAGGAAGCACGGCCTCTGGAGGCCATTGGTTTCGACAATGCCTGCACTGTCCTTCACATTCCTCTGTACCACCCCTTGCTCTCCAAGACATCCCAGCCTTTCCGCCTAGACAAATCGAAAATGGAACGCCGGTCATCACCGAGACGCGACAACGACAAGAGCTCGGACAATTCCGTGGAAACGTCTCCAAGCCGACGAAAGGAAATGCCCATTGCGATACTGTCCATTTTGACGCCCATCATTCCCTATCCATCCAAACTGCGCTACTCTCTAGAGCATCTGGCGCCTCATATGGCTACATCATTTTCTCTCTGCGTCCATTACTCGAACCTCGAGGCGGAGATCAACGGCTTAAACCGTCGCCGCCATGAGATGAGCGGCTTTGGTGCCGTCGACACCGAGGGTCATCCCTTACCTACGGCATCTGCGTTTATGAACACGCCGTACTTGCCATCGGAGGACCACATTTCGCACCGCTCACAAACCGGAAGCATGACGAGTTTCAGCGACTACTCGGCAAGATCACGGAGCATCGCGGGCTCTCCTGGCGGCACACCTGGCTGGGATTCGGCGGCCTTGAACGTGTTCTTGGAGCGTCGTGCGAACACCGGCAATGGTATCAGCCCCAGCATCGCTTCGCTCACCGGTGACGGCTACTTTGGTATGCGAACAAGCAACATGAGCGCCTTTGGCCGGCCAGCTACAACACCCGGAGGTACTAGCAGTAATGGCGGCGGTGGCGGCGGCGGCCCTCCAGCCAGGGAAAGAGGTAGAAAGAACTCCGTCTCACATAGCGAGAAGCGCTTGTCTGCTCTTCGCCTGCCTGAAGTCACTCTCTCGGCTCAGGAAGAGCGTGTGGGCAGTCCTTTGCCCGACCTATCGACAACAGCCAACCTGCCAGCAGCCCTCTCGTCCCCTTCAATCAGCCGCAACGAGGACTCGCCTGCCTCTTCCCAGCAAATCTCTAGAGGCTCCGGTACAACGTCGGCTGAGACTGGTGTGGGAAGTTCAACAGAGGCACTTTCCAGCTCCGCAAATAGTCGAACAGCGCACCCGGCTCCTGCCTTAAGTGGCGACCCTGTGCCCCCTCTACCACCGAGCGACTCGAAGAAGCGTCCCGTTGAGAGAGACGCAATCGTCTCGGAGGAGCTGAAGTTGGCGTTTTCGGATCGACCACCGCTGGTGAGCCCGGCGGTCCATACGCCCGGTGGCACACCCCACCAGCGGCATCCTCGCTTCCAGCACCAGCACAGCCATAGCCATGGCGGACACAGCCAACTGCACTCCTATGGTGCCGATTTTGCGTCCACATTTCCATCGCTCCCCCCCAGTGGGACCGTTGCCGTCAAGGGCGCAAGTGCCACTATGCATCCTCAGACCTCGACTCCATCTCATGCCCCGTCGGCTGCGTCTTCGAGTCCTGTGGACATGCCGCCGCCCTCGGATCGACTCAAGGGCCTGATCCTAGACTCTCTACCGGCCCATGTATTCGTCGCCATGCCTCAAACAGGAGCCATCGTTTGGGTCAACAGTCGCTATCTGGCATACCGTGGCCAGACGGTAGAGGGATTGGCGGAAGACCCATGGGGCAGTCTTCACCCTGACGACTGCGACGAATATCTCAAGGCTTGGAGCCACTCCGTCCGTACTGGCGACCAGTTCTCTCGCACGGTGCGGATCCGCCGCTTTGACGGATCCTACCGCTGGTTCCAGGCGCGGGCGGTTGCTTCACGCGACCGGCGCAACAGCATCATGCAATTCCTGGGCTCGTACATGGACATCCATGACCAGCACATTGCAGAACTGAAAGCAGCCCGCCAAGAAGAGATTGAAGCATCTGAGACAAAGCATCGTATTCTGGCCAATCTCATCCCACAAATCATCTTCACCGCCAACGAGGAAGAGGGCGTCACCTTTGCCAACGAGCAGTGGCTTTCGTACACCGGCCAGAGCTTCCAGGACCTGCTGGGCCTTGGCTTCTTGGACAACGTGCATCCCGACGACCTGGCCAAGTGCAGCTTCCTACCGGTGCCCGCGCATTTGCAGGAGCGCCGGAAGCGGCTGTTGCAATCTGTGTCGTCGCCCCTCTCCGCTCGAGGCGCCAACAATGTGGGCGACCGGGACCGGAAGACAGAATCGGGCAATGACGAAGAGCTGAGTGAACTGGCCGAGCTCGCTCGCCGTGGCATCATCCTAGTAACGACGGACGATAACGGGCGACCGTCATACACAACCGAAGTACGCCTGCGGTCCAAGACGGGTGAATACCGCTGGCACTTGGTACGCTGCGTGGAGACGGGCACGGTGGACTTTGGCAAGGGCTACAATTCGTATTTTGGCTCGGCCACCGACATCAACGACCACAAGCTTCTGGAGACCAAGTTGAAAGAGGCCATGGACTCCAAGACACGTTTCCTGAGCAACATGTCGCACGAGATTCGCACACCCCTGATTGGCATTTCCGGCATGGTCAGCTTTTTGCAAGACACGGTCCTGAACGAAGAGCAGCGCGACTACACCAACACCATCCAAACCAGTGCCAACAGCCTGCTAATGATTATCAACGACATTTTGGACCTCTCCAAGGTCGATGCCGGCATGATGAAGCTGAGCTTCGAGTGGTTCCATACGCAGTCTCTCATTGAAGATGTGAACGAACTCGTGTCGACCATGGCCATTGCTAAGCGCCTTGAGCTGAATTATATTGTCGACGACGACGTGCCCTCCTGGGTCAAGGGCGACCGTGTGCGCATCCGGCAAGTCCTTCTCAATGTCATTGGCAACGCCATCAAGTTTACCACCAAGGGCGAGGTGTTCAGCCGGTGCCGGATTGTCAAGAACAAGAGCAATGCAGGGGCAAACCAGATCGAGCTCGAGTTTTCCGTCACGGACACAGGGCGCGGCTTCACGAAGGAAGAGGCCGACCTCATCTTCAAACCCTTCAGCCAGATTGACGGCAGCAGCACACGGCAGCACGGTGGCAGTGGCTTAGGCCTCGTCATCTCGCGGCAGCTTGTCGAGCTCCATGGTGGCACAATGAATGGCTCGGCCGTCCCTGGCAAGGGCTCCACATTCACCTTTACCGCCATCTTCAATCTACCGACGGAGCAGGACCACCCGGATGGCCACTTGACGCCGTCTGCCGAGGCGAATCCGAAAGCACCCAACCTGACCTTGACGGCGATGGGGCTTGCCACGCCATCGTTCATGGATCCGGCCGCCATAATTGCCGCCGCCGCCGCGTCGGCAGCAGGCGCTGGCTCCACCGGGGTGTCCAGCGTGCCGGTGGATGTGGAGCCGAACGCGACGGCATCACCAGCAGGCGGCTCGAGCGGAAGCTCAGTTCCTTCCATTGCGTCGAACAAGTCGCACCCGTTGTCAGAGCGTTCGTCCTCGATATCCTCCGTGAATACGAATACGGGCGGGCTCACACGCTTCAGTGAAGCCGCTCGTGCCAGCGGACAGGACGTATCCCACATGAAGTTCAGGGTACCACCAAGCGGCAGCGACGTCCCATCGCCTCGATTGCCTACACTGCCGGTGCCTAAGAGCAGTGATACGACCACCACGGTGACAGAAGCGACAGGCGCTTTCGCATCACGCACCGGGGCAGCAGAGACGAAGCCGGCGGTGCCCAGGCGCACCCTGAGTCAGCCATCTTCGTTTTCCATCTTGATCATTTGCCCCCAGACACACAGCCGCGAAGCGACCGCACAGCATATCGAGACCACGCTGCCCAAGGACCGCCCGCACAGTATCACCGCTGTGGCGACAATGTCCGAGGCACAAGAATTGATCAAAACCGAGGCCAAGCCGTTTACGCATGTGGTGGTCAATCTTCCATCGGCACAGGAGGTCCTGGACCTTGTGGACCAGCTCGACCGTTCGACCATGCTGGAGACAGCGCACGTTCTCGTCCTGTCCGACTCGGTGCAGCGCCAGGAAGTCAACAAGCTGGCCGCCGGTACACGGTACGAGCAGCGGCTCTCGGAGGCGCGCGTGATGTACATCTACAAGCCGGTCAAGCCGTCGCGGTTCGCCGTGATCTTCGACCCCAAGCACGAGAGCGACATTAGCATCGACCGCAACCGATCCAACGCGCAGCGGCTGGTGGAGACGCAGAAGAAGAGCTACCTGGACTTGTCGCAACGTATGGGCAACAAGGGGTACAAGGTGCTGCTGGTGGAGGACAACATGGTGAACCAGAAGGTGCTCACAAAGTACCTGCGGAAAGTCGGCGTGGACGTGGACATGGCGGCGGACGGTGAGGAATGCACGGACACTGTTTTTGCGCGGCCTCACGACTACTATTCGCTGATTCTGGTGAGTTTTGTTTCCCAACGCCCCATCGCCGTCCATTTTGTATTGTTGCTAACCGGCCAGTGTGATTTGCATATGCCGCGCAAGGATGGATATCAAGCGTGTCGCGAGATTCGCGGGTGGGAGGCCAAGGGCAACTACAAGAAGCCGATCCCCATCATTGCACTGTCGGCCAACGTCATGTCGGACGTTTACGACAAGTGCATCGAGGCCGGGTTCAGCAAGTACATTACGAAGCCGGTCGACTTTGTCGTCCTGAGCCGGGCGCTGGCCGAGTTCTTTTGAGAAGAACTGGGGGATGATACTGAATTTTGTTACGTAGATTCGGGGGTAATGATTTTACAATGACCTCACAGCAGACGCGCTGTGATGGGATGGGATTTTGGGCGTTTTCTGTTCGAGTCATGAAAAAACACTGGGAAACAGGCGAGGTCGTGGGCACATATGTAGGGCGTACAAAGTACACGACGGCACATCATACCAGATCCTTCCAACATTTTTTTTGACAAAGGCCGCCATTGGATTGACATTCTGTTCCTGTCGGTAAGCCGCTCGTATATACGGAGTGCTCGCTTCCCTACAAAGTGTGGCGTTGTAATCCGGAGATGCAGATTCCTCGCCTTGGCGGGTGCATTTCAAACCCGGAACATTTCGCGAATGACAAAGGATGAGAAAACGAGGAGTTCACGAAGAGTATGCCATCCAAATGAAAGGGATGAGAGCTGGTTTACTTTTTGAATGTTTATTTTTTTTTAAAAAAAAAATAGAAAAAAAATCTTGAGCAATATGAACTAATCCGAGAGCATACGATGTCGTTCGCAACTGCCACTTTTTCGCCCCTGTCAACGACGCCGAGGCCCGGATTTGCCAGCCGTCCAATCATCGCGCCGCTAAATGGCCTATGATGTCGTTTGCTGGGCCTTTGGGGGCAGGCGGCGAGTGACAAACTTGCTGATGTGCCGCTGGCGCCACTAGCGCTAAAGCTACACTGGGGTGATGGAATGCTCGGGCTTTTTTGGGGGGTTTGCCCGCTAGTATTTATAATTTCTAATCCTTTCCCGCGTACCGTCTATTTTGTTTCTTTCGGATTGCAACTACCTTCCACGCAACGACGACGTCGCACCACCGCACAACGTACCATCTGCATCCCAAGACAGCGACATGATAGTACGTCCAAACACAGCCATGACCAAGTCGAGCCTCTCGCGCGTCACGGCCACAGCCGCCGCGACGGCTATGCGCCCTGCGTTCTGCCGCCGTGCTCCGCGAGTTGCCTTTGCCTCGCTCCCCGCGACCTCGACTCCCTTCTCTACGTCCCCATCTTCCGCCCCCTCTCCGCGCCGCGCCTACCACATCTCGTCGTCGTCAAGGCGCCCCCGGATACAGGGCCCCGCATCCGCATCCGCACAGCCCAGCTGGTCGCTCGCCGGCCCCGGTCGTCGCTCCATCTTCATCCAGACCGAGAGCACGCCCAATGCCGATGCGCTCAAGTTCTTGCCCAACCACCGAGTCCTGCCCGAGGGCATCGCGGCTCCCTTTGTCGAGTACCTCAGCCCCCGCGCCACCATTGCGCCGCCCTACCCGTCGCCGCTCGCCGCGCAGCTGATGAACGTCGACGGCGTCACGGCCGTGTTTTACGGCAGCGACTTTATCACGGTGACCAAGGCGCAGGACGCCAACTGGGCGCACATCCGGCCGGAGGTGTTTGCCCTCATCACAGAAGCCATCACGTCGGGGCAGCAGATTGTGCGGCCGGCAGCCGAGGCGACGGCGGGCGCCGCCGCGGCGTCCGGCAGCAGCAGCGACGCCGGTAATGCTGCGCCCGTCGAGGCGGACTCGCTGCAGTACGACGAGAACGACAGCGAGGTGGTGGGCATGATCAAGGAGCTTCTGGAGACACGGATCCGACCGGCGATCCAGGAGGACGGCGGCGACATTGAGTTTCGCGGCTTCGAGAACGGCACGGTGAAGCTGAAGCTGCGCGGCGCGTGCCGGACGTGCGACTCGAGCACGGTGACGCTGAAGAACGGCATCGAGAGCATGCTGATGCATTACATTGAGGAGGTGGAGGCAGTGGAGCAGGTGCTGGACCAGGAGGAAGAGATTGCACTCTCCGAGTTTGCCAAGTTTGAGGAAAAGCTCAAGGGGCAGAGGGGACCGGCTGTGGCGGCGACCTAGGCGACCGACGACAAGGGGTCGACGAGCATCGCTGCAGCATAAGGTGGTAGACATGGGTTCTTGTTCTTGTTGCTCATATCGCTTTCTGTCTGTATTTCACTACACTTTTCGTTTAAGTTACTCGAACGACAACGCATTTTGGGGGATAACCATCGTATGGGATATACGCTTATTTCGAGAACCGGGTTCTCCATTTCATGCTTTATATACAAAACTGAATGATATGACACAACAAAGAAATACCCTACTCAAGATACAACAATCTTTCCCTACAAACCTATTTTCTTGTGAACCCGCTTTGATGTTTGGTGTGCGTTAAACGGTCAGCTTTTACGGCTGGCAAACGGTAGTCGACCAAGATTGCATTTATTACTCGACAATATACTTTTATCAGAGTCATGCCCCCATTGTTGTCTTATTTCCCGGTGAGGGGGAAATCCATAACGGCGTATTGAACTATCCGCATATTGCCGTTCCTTTCTTGGAGACCTCATGACCAGGACGACGAGCAGAGAACCGCAGAATATGCCCTCGCTTGCGTCTCACATAGAGCTGCCGTCCTTGCTAGGACATCCCAGGGGACGGAAAAGGATCACACAACTAAATATGAGCTGCGTTGTAGAAAGGCCAAGACAAGCATTATGAAAATCTAATCTAACCAGGGCGGGCACCAGGACAGGCATCAAGGTTTGGATAAAGTCGGAGAGCAGACACAGGAGGGCCGTTGGTCACGGCACGCGCGTTTGGGGGGAGCGGTCTGCGCAATGTGTGGCAACCCGGATCAAAGAAATAAACCGCTTGAACCGGTTGTCCTAGATCTCCAGACGTTCAATGTTTATTAGACAAATTGTAGGCAGGTCAGTATGTGCTGCGGCCATTCTCCCGGATAGGAGGCGAGAGGGGAGTCATGGCAGCATCATGGGAGCAATCAATTGCCTCTGTACGTCGCCAGAGGTCAGCGTGAGGTATTGTGCAAATGCCAAAAGTGCTGTAAACAAACGCGAAAGAGGGTGCGAAGGGAAGGACCTTGTCCCTGTCTCCTCCTCCAGTCTCCTCATCTCCACCTTCCCGCCGGGTTGGCCCGTCTTTCCTTCACTTAGGGTCGTGTCCTCTTTCCCATCTAGAAAACCCGGGTATCGTGACACCGCATTGGCCGGGAGTATATTTAACAAACTATACCAGGTACTCCGTACAGTCTTTGACGCAGTATATTTACGTTTACGACTTTGTTTCCATGCTCTGCTTTTCCTACTCTGTTCGTCAACTCTTCTTAACCGGGTTTGGCCAGCCAAAAGACTGGATCGAGGAGAAGGAGCTGTCGAGAACCCAGCCACATGCTGTGCAAGGAAGGAACGAACGATGTGGGAGCACAACAGGAAGGACCACGGAATGCTCGCAAGTCATATGACCTTTGGACGGCCGTCTCATCAACACAGGACATCTCTACAGAGCAGCCATGCTAGATGAACTACACACGCAGCATTGGACGTCGTGTCGTTCATTCAGCCCTCCTTTTAGGAGTGATCACGGCTCCCTTCCATCTCCGTTCTTGCCCCCTCTTTTCCCGTTGTGATGAGCGCTTGGGCCCGCGCACCGTCCAGCTACCAGTTGCTGCAGACAGAAAGCAACCTCCTTTTTCCGTCCCGCCGCGTCCCTTTTCACTTGGACTATGACATTTTTGTCGTACTCCGTCTGCGTCTCGTCCACGGCCGCCCACTGTATGCATCGCTGGCGTGTCAAGGGACTGTACTTTGGACGTTTTGTCGCAGTCGTTCTGTTTCAACTTGAACTTGAGCATGGAGCTTGGTCTGGCCACAGCTCATCCAGGGGTCCTGCATCGTGCGAGGACACAACATCATACATAAAATCCGGGGAAGACTTATAGTACATCCCACGGACCTGTGCCGGGGTGCTGCCCCTCCTTTGTTTCTGTGTTGAGGAACATCGCCTGCCGCTGTTAAACCCGCGGCCTGTTATCCGTGGGTGCCCACACGGCATCTCGAAGAAAAAAGGTTCATGCCAAGTGAAATGTGACAAGTGAGAAGTGAGGAGGCATCAAGCCTCTTCGTCGGATACAAGGTTGAGTAAAAGGGCATTTCACGGGACAGAACCGAGCACTCCGCATCCACGGCTCAGCTTACTACCTCTCTTATTGTTAGAGGGGCTTCCCCTGCCTTAACTTGCAACAAAAAACTGTACGTCTGTGCACTCTGGCAACAAAGGACCTGGACTGCTCAAACGGCGGTCCCGTTTTCCGCCATCTTCCCTGGAACTGGCATTGCGTAAGATCGCCATTGCATTTGCCGGGACCATTTGTTGGTCCATTTGCTTGTCAGCGTTGTCTTCCTGTGCCCTATCTCTGACGTGGTTTTATTAACAGCTGTTCATGATGGTTGTCGCCATGGCATACCGTTGAAATAAAAAAGACAGAATCATTCGTAAAATTATACAGGAAATCAAGTCAAGGGGGTCGACGGTTATTGCATTTTTGTTGTTCGTGTAATCTCATTGGTGCGCAAGGCGGCGGTAGGATGAGGTTACAAGAAAAAGGGCTGACTGCTAAGGCTGAGACTCTGCAAATCACAGAGCCGAATCAACCAAGAGGCAGATAAGTGTGCGTTGTATTAAGTTTTCTTATGGCCCTAACTCGGGGTTTCTTGCTGGAAAGAGTTGCTGCTGGATGAGTTGCTGCTGGATGCTCACTTCTTGCTCACTACCCCTTCCACAGGCCGGGCCAGGCTTGGCCATCGACTGTCGATCACATCGAAAGCGGGAGGCTCTGGATCCGAAAAAAAAGTGAGGAATAGAAATGGAAAACGATAGGAAAGCCACAAGGTCGGTTGACTATACTCGGTCAGAACAAAAGACAACCGAGCATTCGAATAGCTGAAATCATCCAGAAAAGGCCAAAAAAGAGAGGACGCGCCTTTTCGCAGTTGTATCAGACGGCAATTACAGGTGGAGTGGGTGCTTTTTTAATCAAAAGGCATCTGCATGGAAAAGGAGATGCAGCAAAAATACATAATTAAAGCTGTCCATGTACGAAAACTGAGGCGCAACCTGTTTCGCTGCAATGGCCACCCTCCCTCCAGACCACAACCACCTGGTCGCTGTTGACACGGGCCAGCAAGGCGTTCTCTGTGCGCGGTGCGGCCTGGCAGGCCCTCCGTTTCGTCCGTGATGGTATCTTTGTCTTTCTGTTGCCTTATTTTTTTGTCGCTCAAATCTCCAAGCCTCGCCTTGCGGACGAATCACAGCCTGCAATCCCGGTGGCCTCCTCTGCTCCTGTGACAGGTTGGCAACACGTAGAAAGAGGGTGTCGAGCTCAGGACAAGGCGTCGAAAAGAAGACGAGAGTGTCCTGGCATTTTAACTGGTTGCCGACCTAGCCATATTTCCCTCCCTCCTTTTGTTGTGCATCTGCAGGCCCATGTCGTACTCAGTCTTGAAATCTAAACTCGGTTCGTGACCACCCTTGTGCAGAGCCAAACGGGACGTTTTCAATTATTGTTTTTCTTTTTTTCCTTTGTGTGCCCTTTCTTTTTCTTACATTCTGCAGACAGGGGTGGCATGGACCATGGTAATCTATCCTCTCCGTTGATATTCTGTACTCTTAACTACACAGTACCTTCCTGCCCCCCAAGTACGACATATTCAGTAATACATTATGTAAAAGACAACGCAAATGCAATCGTTCAAAGGAAAGACGAACGGACGACGTAGCGCCCAGGGGTTGCTGATGTGCTCTCTATTTTATGTTGTGTGCCGGCACTGTCCACCCCTCGCTGAGACGATGAATGAACAGTCTCATCCGTGTGGCCTGGCTCTCCCTTCCCTCAACCACAGACCTGGGCTACAAGCGGCCCTCGCCTCGACCTTGTGTCCCTCCCACCATGTCTTGGGCCCGTTCCAGACGGCGATTTTCTCCCTCCTGTGCAGGGTCTTCATTCCGTCGGCAACTCGTCTGAACGTCGTCGTACGTGGTCCCGAGGCCAGTCGCGCCTGCTATTCAAAACACAGCACGGCATGGGCTCCGTTGTACAGGCCCAACACTATTCATCCCGTCCGTTCCTTCACCTCGCTCGTCCTTTCCGTACCCTCTCTGGCCCCGTCCTCTCCTTCCCTTTTGTTGGCTCTGCCCCACCATTGTTTGCGCATTTCCCCAGCTCTCCAGCGCGGCACCATGCTTGCCCTAAATTAGTGCCTCCGAGTCGAGCCCTGACGTCCGATGTTTTTAACGGCTGCCCTTTGTCCTGGCTCCTCGGCCCCCTCATGCTACCACAGTTGTTGGTCGCGAAGACCTTTTCCTTAGCTTTGGTGCCAAAATACCAATAACGATGTATGTCCACCATTGGGACTGGACCCAAATATGACGCTATTGTCTCCGCATGGAAGGTGCGCCAAAGCCGCACTAGCGGCCCCCCTTTATCTGTCTGGGGAAGGAGCAGCATGACAGCCACTGTGAACGAGGACATCTCAAAGGGAGGAGAAGCCCAGAAGGAAGGAACCGAAGAAGAGCGGTTTCATTGCTTTTGTATCTTACTACACGTTCAACATACATATTCGAGAAAAGTGCCAACAGCAGCCGCCAATTTGGACATGGTTCCAATAGATTGTTGACCCCAGCTCGAAGAAGGCGAGATCATTTCTGTTGATCGCCAAGGGGGCCAGAGTACATGTAAATGTCGCTGGCACAATAAGTCCGATGAGGGAGGGATCCATGGGCCAACAGATCAAAGTCCGGGGAAACACTTTGTGGATGGAGGCAGAAACAACCAGCCACCCTTTGGATCGTGTGTGTGCAAGCCCTTTCCCTTGTTGTACGACAATATTTCGTACAGGATCGCCCCTTCTCCCCGCTTTCTCCGTTCGCTCCTGCCCTGGCAGCTGGCAACTCAATGCGTCGTTGGCCTACAACGTAGACGGAGATGCTTCCTTCCTCGATCTCGTGCCCCTTCCAGATGCATGTCAATAGCACTTTCCACACACCCTGTCATATTGTCCATTGCCGCCACTAAAGTGCACAAGGGCTAGCGGACTTCATCTCTTCTTTCTCACCTGCACCTGCCATCGGGTTTCACTTTCCTTGTAGAGAGCACTCTACCAATTGCTGGCACAACTCCTCTTTCCTTGCCTTCTCACTGAAGCTCTTTCTTTGCTTTGCTGTCGCATCGTCCTCTCTCCTTCCAGATCGCTCTCGCTCTCCATTGCTCCTCCCCTCTTGAGCCGGTTTGTGTTTCTCCTTGTTTTCACCTGTCTACAGCTAAACTCTTCCTCCTATCTTCACATTCCTAGTCAATCTCCGTCAAGACATTTCTGTTCGCATTTCTGTTCACATTTCTCCCATCAACACCCACCTTCGCAAACCGCCAAACGCACTTTGATAATCCTTCAACCCCCCAAACTGCACATCACATCAGCACACACATAAGCTTTCGCTTGCTCGGTTGGCGATGGGCCGCGCATAAGGCCAGACCACGCACAGCCTGTCCCCTTGTCGCACCTTTTCTCGTTTCGATTTACCATCCTGACAAGCTCCTTGTAACCTGCACACAGCCTTCCACTGCACACTCTGCGTTTGCGGACATCGGTCTCAAACGCCGTCGTCTTGTTCGTCGGTGTCTCTGCGCCTCTCCCTTTGTTGCGAGACCCCTTTGTTGGTGGAGAAGAAACAGAAAGTCAAGAAGAATACATTCTGTGCAGACTTTGTCCTTTTGCTATTGTCCAATCCGTTTCAGCTTTGCATATTTCGTACTGGTCACCGTTTTCTCTGTTGCCAGTGTTTAGTGTTTCTTTTTTCCCTTGTTTCTGTGGCCGTTTGTCTTGTCCGGCTGCTTCTCCATTTGTAACTTCATTCCTACTTCTTACTGCCCTCTGTTTTTTGTTTCTTTTCCTGTTGTTGCTCTCGTTGCCGCCGATTTCTCGACGCCTTTCATTTATCGTCGATTGTGTCTTCTTCGTCACCCTTGCTCCGTCTGCACTGTCTCGCTCTCCCTGCGTCGCCTTTTCTCGACTTTTCTTTTCGCTCGAGACCCTGGGCCCTCCAACCCTCCGTCGTGCGCGTCTCCAGCCAACGGCCGTCAACGTCGACAACCGCGCGTGTCTTGGAGACTGTTTCGCTCCGTGTCGCCTTGCTAAACGCCGCCGACTCGATTCGTTCACTTGCCATTGTCGAATTCTGCATCTTCGATTTGCACCCTTCGCCAGACGTTCAATTTTTCTTTTGCAATTGACGGCCACATCTTCCTCCTCTCCTCTTCCAATTCCCGGCCTCGCTTTCTTTGCGTTTCCCCTCTTTTTGGCCCTTTCGCATACTCCATACTCCACAGGGCTGTTCCTCCCCATCGACCATCTTGGACCCCTTTTCCTCGTGTCTCCGGCCAAAACAACAGCCGCAAACCGTTCCTCCTCCTTGCTGTCTTCGCCTCTCCTCCCGTCACCGCGAGTGCAACAAAAATTTTGAACCCCAGCTGTCATCACCACGACCAGCGTTTCGAGACGTTCTCTGTCATTCCAATTCTGCCTTCGACCCCGCTTCGACGTGCAAATATCGCTCCCGAGATTTATTTTCTGCATGCACATTTGCAGCCAGACGTTCCAGGCTTGACGAAGCCACTTGATATTGCCATCCACTGCAGGTCGTACGGAGTACGAGTTGACTACGACGTTAAACTATCGGCGGTGGCTTCCAACTTTCTTCCCTAGGTAAGCTACTGTGACAACTCCACAATTTAGTCTCCTCTTTCAACGTTAGTCCGCTTGCCCTTCCCACCGTCGCGCTGCCTGTCTGTCGTCTGTCTTCATTTCCTTTCCTTCCCCTGGTTCTTTTAGGACAAGGAGTTCCCTTTTCTTCTTTTCCGGGGACGGCAGCTTTGCAAGCTGCAGTCGACCATTCTGTTTGCACTGGTAACGGACCTGATTTCCACTTTTGTCTGTTGTGCTCATTTGCTCCGAACAAAGAAGGCAGAAGCTACAAAGTATGGAGTAATTACTCAAAGATTCTGCAACGTTTCTCAATTCCCTTCTGCTTGGCCCTCACTCGCATCCCATCCCCATCATCTGACGAGATCTCGTTTCCTGGGTCTGGCCCTTCCCCTCTTCCCTTGTTGGCTAGAAAAATCTTTTTACTCCTCATTTTCCCTTTTCGACTTCACCGCCAAATCTGTTGGGCTGGTTGGCTACACAAATGCTCTGTACAAGAGGCCCCAAAAGCCAAAACGCTACATAACCAAAGGCCAAATGGATGGCTCACCTGACCGACCGTGCCTACTGTACTTGCCCGCTTGCTCACTCTGCTTTTCCACGCCGCCATCCTGTTTCGAGACACGTCCCTCATTGTCAACTCGTGGAGACGATACGTGGGGAAGAGGAGCAGAAAGTGCACTAAGTAATTACAGCGTAGAGCGACTCTCGACTACAAAGACCGCCATAGCACGCTTCTCCCTTCTCCTCACTGCGTCACGAGGCTAACCAATCGTCTGCAGGTCGCGTCCAGTCGCCACTTTATCCCATTAATTTCCCTTTTCCCTCGTTTTCGCGGCTCTTGACAGCTTTCGATCTTGTCTTTCTTCCTCTTCTTTTCTCATTTGCTTTTGCGTCGGGCGTCCTTTTCGCGTCATTCTCTCGACGACTTTTAACCTTGCATTGCTGGCATCGAATTTGCATCGCACGGATCGACCATTTTGCTGAACCGTTCATCGCAACCTTGTGACCAACGACACCCGCTGTGGCCTGGCCTACAAAGTACGACACCAAACTATCTTACCACCAACGGAATACATAACGCACTCACGTGCCGCATTCACCAATCCTCGTTTTTCGCCACAAACATCACGGCTTTGTGTTGTGCCCCAAAGCAACGGCAAGCCGAGAGACATAGCACAAGACTCTACATTGGGCACCCCACAATCGAGCCCACAATCGAGCCGTTTCAGAAACGGAGGACGATTTTACAGTGTCACGCCACTGTACACCATCGCGCACCACCGCCCCCGGCACACTCCTAGAGGGAAAACAACAAGAACCCCAAGACGGTCTCGTCTCGAGGTGATCCTAGACCCCTCAAAAGGACCGGTGTCGTCATCACATCCGCCCTGCACCGTCAACATAACACGGTGCTTCTCCTGACCGGAACGGCTTTTGAATGCGGCGCAAGCGGGTATAATTGTTCCCCCGTCCAAAGACCCTGACCGACAAAGGACCTACGGACAATGAGCGCCGGATTTAAGTCTGGCCCACCGCCCAAGCTGGGTCAAAGCAATACACTCTCCTCTGTAGCTCCAGGTAGCCAGGCTATTTTGCTTGACAAGTTCAATCGCCGGTCCACCCCCGATTCAGAGGCCCTGGCCAGCTCAGATGAGGAGACCGACCTGCATAGCCATCCAAACCACCAAAACCCTCACACAGCAGCAACGACTGCTGCCGCCGCCAACGCCGCTACGGCGTCCTCTCCTACCACACACTTGAGCCAGGGCCAGCAGTCTCTTTCACAGGCGCAGCAGCCGCAGTCTCAGTCCCAGTCTCAGTCCCAGTCTCAGTCTCAGTCGCAGCCGCCAAAGCCCGTCCGCCGCGCTTCGTGGCTCAACGACACCAGCCAGGGCCTCGTCCGGCCGAGGAACGAGTCGTTCAATAGCGCATCAATGTCGCCCACCACGTCGCACCCGAGCACGCCGGCAATTGATGCCAGTGCTGGTGGAACTGGTACAACCTCTGGCACCGCCGCGACCTGGGGTGCACACCCCACGTCGTCTTCGGGCGTCTTGAACCGCACTCACTCCAACGCGTCCACCTCTTTCCCCTGGGGCACAGCCATGTGGAATTCCGAGCGCAAAGACCCGCCATCCAGACTGTCTGAGGTGCTGCCGTCTCCAACATCTGCAATCCCGCCTGGCTCTGCTGGTGGCTCGTTCTTCGGAAGCGGAAATGCCGATAGCTACCCTTCGCAAACCTCTCCGGCGGCACGGGATGGTCTCAGCACAACGTCGCAAATCCCCTTTGCCATCCCTCTGCACCCGACTCCCAAGACGTACCGGTCGCAGTCCTACTCCGTCGGCCAGCTCGAGCCTGATGTTGCTGCTCTCACGGGGTCTGCCACGTCGCCGGCCCTGACGTCGTCCCTCGGCGGCGCGTCGCTGCTGGCCGGCCCCCGCTCGTCCCGCCCGATTGCCGGCCTGCAGCACCGTCCCTCGCGGCCTAGCATGCTTAGCGAAATGTCCAACGACGGCGGCATGCTTGGCAAAGTAAAGGAGGTCGATGATGATGACGACGGGAGCATCAACGATTCACTCCAAGGCAGCCAGCAGCTGTCAGCCGAGGCCAAGACCATTGAAATGTTGACCCGTGAGAACGCCATGCTTCGCCAGCACGCCAGCCAGCAGTACCATAACGCCCGCATTCGCCCGCGTGCGTCGACGGGAGCGGCCTACCGCCTGGACAACGGCTATGGCCTCCAGGAGTCTGTCCCTGAGGAGGCTTCTGATTTTGCTATTGACGAGTTGGACGAGATCAACGACGGTGACTTTGCCACCGCGGCCAAGCGAGCCAACGTCCGCAGAATGAGCGAGTTTGCCGCTCCTGGCTCCTTCCGGTCACCGTTTTCCGTCGAGAACCGCAAGCTTGAGAGTGTGAAGAAGGCGTTCTGGCAAACCACCCCTGCCGGCTTCGCCGATGTCTCCCCGAGCCGCCGTCACTCGTTTGCCGACGTTCCCACCCGCCAAGCGTCAATCAGTTCCATCAGTGAGGTTGTCCTTGCGCACGATGCAAATGCACAGGATCAGCAGCAGCCGGGCGGGATCGAGTTCACGTCGCCTTTTGATAACCCGCACAGCTTTGCTGCCAAGTCCGCCGCGGGCGCCGCTGCCGCGCAGTCCATGTACAGCAATGGTCCGGGTGTCTCGCCGGGCGCGTCTCAGATCACGCCCCAACAACTTCTCCAGCAGCAACAACATCAGCAAGCTCAGCAGCAGCAGCAACAACTTTCAGCAAGCGCCGCTTACGCTGGTGGAGGCAGTGCTGCTTACCCCTCGCCCTATGTTCTACACCCGCCGACGTATGCCGCGCGGCCGACATCGCCTCAGCGTGGCATGTACGGCTTGTCGCAGCCAAATCGCTCGACTCCGCTTCACATCGTCCTCTTCAAGTGCGCTCGTGCCGATGTGTTCTACATTCAGGAGGGCACCGGCCTGACAGTCAAGCCGGGCGACCTCGTTATTGTCGAGGCTGACCGTGGCACCGATCTGGGAACCGTGGCTGTGGACAACGTCGACTGGGTCGAAGCCAGAAGACTCAAAGAGCACTATGCCGAGGAGCAGTACAAGTGGCTTATGATGTACTCTCAGAATGCTGCTGCGGCGCAGGATGGCGTGGGTGCTGGCCTTTTGGCATCGTCCACTGGCCTTCAAGGGAGCGCCATTGGCGGCATGGGCCCACCCGGCCAGCATCACGTCCAGGAGCCGAGCACCAGCGAGCTCAAACCCAAGCTCATCAAGCGTCTTGCCCAGAACCACGAGATTCACGCCTTGAGAGACAAGGAAGGAAACGAAGCGAAGGCGAAGCGCGTTTGCATGCAGAAGGTGAAGGAGCACGGCCTTAACATGGAGATCCTTGACGCTGAGTTCCAAATGTAAGTCCCAGTCTTTTTGCGACGTGCACCACGAAAAGAAAAAAGTATTGGATCCAGCGGTAATAGCATACTAACACACGCCACAGGGACTGGAAAAAGCTTACCTTTTACTATTTTGCCGACGCTTACATCAACTTCAACTCCCTGGTCACGGACCTATTCAAAATCTACAAGACCCGCATCTGGATGTCCGCCATTAACCCGGCCTCCTTTGCCAGCCAACCCCTTGGTCTCCAGGCACCGAGCGGCATTGGACCCGGTGCTGTTGGTGTTGGCCGTGGAGCCCCGACGTCGGAACGTCGCCAGACGCAGCAGGGTGGTCAGGTCTCCCCGCCGCCGCAGGCTGGTCCTCAGCAACAGCAGCTGCAGCAGCAGCAGCAGCAACAGCAGCACCAGCCTGCCTACTCACCAGTGCCGTCTAACCGTGGTTATCCCAGCGGCCCCGGCGCCGTCAGCCCGCAACCGCCTAGCATCGGTGGTCCCGGTAGTGGCCCCTACCCAGGCTCGTTCCCGTATAGCCCATATGCCGCGTTTGGGAACATCCCTCG